ATTGCCCCATCTTCCTTCTGAGGAGTGGCTGGTGGGTTTGAACCGCCAGCCTTCTGGTTAGCAGTCAAGTGCCTTAGGCACTATGCCACCAGAGCATGTATGTATGACCCAAATATTGAAATACAGATATTACTGTACAGTCTTAGTATATCCTGGACCCACTGAGAGGTTCTCTAAGTCATCTTCTCTAAAGTGGGTTGAGGCTGTGCATACCACTCCCTACCCCAAATTACTTGGAGATCCCTGGCCCTAGAAATAGAACAGAGCACACAGATCAAACTTCTTCAGGGAAGAAGCCACAAGAGTCCAGATTTCCCACTAGCTGCTAGGCTAGGCCCTGACTCAAGGGCAGGGAGTAAGTCTACTTCATTTCTGTATTTCCAGTGCCAAATACATGAAAGACATGCAATAAATGTTGGATACATGAAATTAAAAAAGATGTAAACCTATAAAAAATAATAATAGAAGTTGTCTCATTAAGTAACTTGCCCAGGTTCTTCAGTTAGTATCACTGGGATGGGTCTTATAAAGTCTGTCTGACTTCACAAGGATTTTGCATTACTGATCCCTAAGTACATACAAGTTGAGCTGGTGTGCAGTAGAGGCAGAAAGAGGGTTGCAGTTGTTGTTAGGTGCTGTGGAGTCAGCTCTGACTCATAGCAACACCATGCATAACAGAATGAAACACTCCAGTCCTGTGCCAGCCTCACAATCCTTGCTATACCTGAGTAGGATTCATTTGAGGTAGATTCCTAGTGGCATATTCTGAGTCAGAGTTTGAAGGAAATTGATAGAGAAAAGGCAAGAGACAGTCCTGAGCATGGAGAGTGTCTAGTACAAAAATTGAGGAGTGATATAAATTTTTTTTTGCCTAGGACAGCTACTTACAGCTGTATAACCTGGGGTGAGTTCTTTAACCTCTCTGTACCTCAATTTGCTCATCTATTCCAATGAGTGGATTATAATAACTCCTCGGAAGGAAGATTGGGCAATCTACTTACATAGAGATACCACTTCAGAAACCCAAGGAGGGGTCGCTATTAATCAAAATTGACTCAATGGCAGTGAGTTTGGTTTGGTTTTTGGTAGGAGGTTGCTGATGCCATTACTTGAGTTAATAATCTATTTAACATGTTTAGGCCAGTACCTGGCACACTGAGTAAGCATTCAATGAACATTAGGTGATTGGGCAATAATCTAAGACAGAAGGCTGGGACTAGGACCAGAGAAGGGACATACCAGTGGTGGGAGAGGCATTGAAGTTTACTTCATAGCATATTGCTCTCATTTCTCTGGTCTCCCACAGTCCTTATAGCACATTACCACAATTTAGCACTTAATTATTTTGCCTCAAATTATTTTTTGTGTAGATTTATTTTCCTTTCAAGTGAATGGTAAATTTGTTGAAGGCAAGGACAACAGATACTTAAAAATTGTTCTTAGAGGTCTTAGAGTTACCAAGTCCAGCTTTCATCCTGCTGTGGGATTACTTACTAAAACATCATAGCAGGTTGTCATCCAACCTCTGCTCCAGCAATTCCAGGGGCAGGAAACTCACCATTACATGTTATATACCATTCCATTTTTGAGCAACTCAGTTATGCATGTCTTCCTTACAAAAAACTGAGGTTCAGCTTCCTATAATGTCTAACCCCGTCTCTCCTTTATAATTTTTGATTTTGTATAATTCCACAGGATACAATGTAGCACTAGATACCTCATAACACTCAGTAGAATTTCACCTCTGTGGGAATTAGGTCACATCTAGCACTGTTCCCCCTCTTTGGGCTGGTGCTCTTGTTGCCTGGAACACTGTTCTCCAGGTCGTTGCAGGCTGCCACCTTCTCAGGTCTCACTGTAAGCATCTCAGAGAGGCATTTACCACGATATCTATAGTAGCTTGCTGCTTCCACCCCACCCCATCCCACAATCACTCTGTGATACATCAAGATATTTTATTTGTGTTACTTGCCACTTAAAAAATCACCTTGTTCATTTATATGATTACTTGTTATTGCTGTTTCTTCTGCACAAGAATAAGCACCCTGTCTTGTTCACCCTTATTCCAAGGGAATGACTAGCTCATAGCTGATTATCGTTGTCATCAAGTGGGCTCTGACTCATGGCAACCTTATGTATAACAGAACAAAACATTGCCTCATCCTACACCTTCTTCACAATCATTAGTATGTTGGAGCTTATAGTAGACACTCATAATACACTTGGTGAGTGAATATATGAATGAAGGAAAAACTAAATGTCCTCTACATTTTGGATAGGTGCAGATTCAGCCTCTGATTGGAATCTTTTAGTGATGAGGAGGAGCTCATTATCTTCCAAGGGAGAATGTTGCAAAATTCTCCCTTAAGTGGTAGCTCCTAGAGACATCTCCCATTGGTCTTCTTTCTATTCCTTGAAGTCCATTCAAAACCAACTTCCCACACTCCACCAACAATAGCATAATATACATTCTGCTCCAGTGCACACGGATCTTTCTCCAGGGTAGACCATGTGTTAGGCCCCAAAGCAAGTCTTCATCAATTTAAAAAGATTGAAATCATAAAAAGTATTTTCTCTGACCACAGTGGAGTGAAGCTAGAAATCAATAAGAGGAAAAAAAAAAAAAAAAGCAATAACTGGAAAATACACAAACATATGGAAACTAAAGAACACACTAGTAAATTACCAACAGGTCAAGGAGGAAATCATAGATTTCCTAAGTCAAATGAAAATGAAAGCACATCATACCAAAACATACGGGATACAGTGAAGGCAGCACTCAGAGGAAAACTTATAGCAATAAATGGCCATGTAAGAAAAGATGAAAGATCGCAAATTAACAGCCTAACTTGGCAACTCCAGGAACTAGAAAGAGAAGGGAAAACTAAGCCTAAACAGATCAGAAGAAAGGAAACAACAAAGATCAAAGCACAATAAATAAAAGTGAAAACAGAAAAATAATAAATAGAGGCAATTATACCAGAAGTTGCTTTTTTGAAAAGATTGATGAAATTGACAAACCTTTAGCTTTCAGATTGACAAAAAGAAGGAAATACTCAAAATTAAAAATGACAGAGCAGACATTACAACTGATCCCATGGAAACAGAGAAAATTATGACAGAACCAATTTTCTTTCCCATATGGCAGCTAACAACTTCTGAAGACTTTTACTTCTCAAAGATAGGTGTTGGAGACTTATCTGTCTGGAACACAGGAGAGACCAGTTAAAGGTGGAGGGAGAAGACTCTGGGAGATGCCAGTGTTTCTAGCAGGTCCTGCTCAAGGCCCTGAACATTTGGCCTCAAGCATGGACCTGGGGCACAAGGGAGAGGAATGCCCTGGATGAATGGGTCCTGTGAGCTTTCTGAATGAAGGGTCCTTTCCATTCCTCACTGGGATAGGATGGCAGGATGGACCTAGGATTTCATTGGATAGATAAGAAAGGAAGGCTGCTATGACAGGGAGATGGATGGGAGGGATGAGTGCCAGAAC